TATTTTAGTTATCAGCTGTCTAACACGACTTTTCTCTTTTATTTATGCTTGAAATTGATTTTTAAAATATAGACATTTGTGCGTGCTAAATCTTACACAATATAAAAACGAGAACAGATCTCTCCCTTGATGAACTAGAGTGAGTCAGTTGAGTGGTCAACCACGCTGCTTGGAACAGCGTGTGAGGCCCGGTGGTAACCTGGAACGGTAATGGGAGACCCTCGTAGATCAACGGAACGATCCAGTAAGACTGAAGAAAGGTTCCTAGAACAAAGAAGAACAAGTTAGAAGGGCGCTGCAGTGTTTTCCGGCGTATCCCCTCCGACGATCAAGTCAGTTTTTGAGAGAGAGGAAGAAGAAAACACTAAGTATAATTTGTAGCCAAAGTTTTTACCCCCTTTTTTCCTTGCCTTTAGTGAGGAGTATTTATACCTCAAATACTCATGATTGCTGTCAGTGTGGTCAGTAGGTGATCATTAGATACAAGCAATGTGCACACTGATTCCTACGAGGAATGTCTTCTCTTTTAACTGCTCGGGACACCGAGCAATCAAGACTGTGTCATCGGCCTGCCGACGGTTCAATGAGCTCCTCTCGGGGAGGATGCAATAAATGCCCATCCTTAGAGACATTTATTGTCTTTCACTTCCGAGTCTTACCACATTGAATGCAGTCTCATCAAGGGAATGGTGTAATTAAATGTTTGTTTTCCTAAGTCGCGTGTCAGCAAGGGCATGCGGTCTTTCTGTCTCTGATGTGACACAATATGTCACGCGTCCATTCCCCATTAGCTGTGGCCCCTGTCTTCCTGTGCCTCCTGACACCAATTGTGTAAGACGAGGTCATGATAGCTAACCTAGCCTAGCCTAGGCTAGTGACCTGTACATCGATAGCCTCTGCTGGAGCAGAGAACGACATCCTGGATGAGGGGGGTACATCTCGGTATCGAGGAAGAGGTACATCTCAGAGCCGAGGAATAGGTACATCTCGAATCAAGGAAGAGGAACATCTTGGAGCCGAGAGGGGGAGCCTGTGACCGATGTACCATATCAGACCGAGGGTACGTGTCGGTAAATAAAAACGTATTGGATGTTACTCGATCCCTATAATCAGTACCTCGGGGGAGAGGGGACTCGTGACCGGATGGGTACGTGATCTCGGTAATAAGGATTAATGACACCGAGGACACGTGTCTTCATCTTGAAGTATTTTGAAATGCCCCATCAACATTAAATATGATATTGACAAAATTAAAAACCACCCCACTAAATTGTGTAAATAGACCATTTTTCGAACTTGTCATGTGCCCAAAAAATTTGATTATTAGTAATCAAATTACGTTCATTACTGATGGTCACTTCCACGATGGTACTTAGTTTATTCCATTGTGACCTTATCTTATGAACTCAAGTCATATAAACAATTTCTTCTTCGTATCTTTTTTTTTGGATAAATTATACTAACACCTCTGGACATTTGACTTTATTACACGAACACCCTCTCACATTTCAACAATTGCAATGAGACCTCAATAGTTAGACGGGGTTAATTCTCTTAATAAAAAGACTATTTTATCCCTCTGTTTAACACAAATCCAAACCCTAAGCCCTATTCCTAAGCTTAATCGTCGCCTCCTCGGCACCAGCGATCCAAATGATTCTCTCTGACTCTCTCTCTCTATCTCTCCCACCAGGGATCCCAGCGATCCCAATCATCAGTCTTCTCTCTCTCTCTCAGCCCATCTTTGTGTGTGTGTGTATATATATATATATAGATAGATAGATAGATACATATACACAGGCAGAGAGAGGGAAAACCTGCCTGAAATAGTAGAAAAATTGGTAAAAATTGCCAGCCCCTCCCCCACCACTGCAGCACCCTCCTGTAGCCTCCCTCATCCAAAATTTCACCCACTTAAGCAAAGAACATTGGGAGAGGGAGAAGAAGAGAGAGAGAGATAAATTGAAAAGATCCAAAACTTAAAAAATCTGAGAAATCAAAAGGATAATGGTGGTTTTTTGGGGTTCAATTTTGACAACGATGGTTTTTGGAGTTCAATTTTGACAACGGTGGTTGTTGATTATGTGTGGTGTGGTCGAGGAGGTGGTGGGATTTTGATGGATTGTGGTGGTGGTGTGTTGTGTGGTTGTGGAGGTGAAATGGAGATGGGGTGGGGGGTTACTCTGTCACTGGCAATGGTGGTGCTCTATGTATGTGTGTGAAGAGAGAGAGATAAAAAGAGAGGAGGTGGTGGCAGTTTTAGTGGTGTGGAGGCGACGATGGGTGGTGGGTATGGTGTTAATGTTGCATGCATTTAGGGGCAAATATAGATTGACAAATAGAATTTACACAAATATGTTATATAATAAACAAAAAAATCTAGTATTTAACTGATTAATTTGATAGATTATGAAATTAAATATTTAATTGAAAAAAATTTAGTTTACATATGAAATATAAAATAAAGAAATGATAAATGAGAGATGAGATAAAATTTTGGGGTAAAAAAAACAAATATTTGAATTTTTAAATTTAGTTTTGAAGGGTATTTTTGATATTTCACAAATTATTATTAATTACATTAACTTTATCCATGAACCATTCTAATATCTGTTAGATGGAGGGGGTGTAGTTGTTATAAGTTTTAAATGTCCAAAGAATTTTGTGTAATTGTTGAAATGTGAGGAGGGTGTCCGTATAATAAAATCAAATATCAAGCAGTGTGAATATAATTTACCTTTTTTTTTTTTTAAGTCAACAATCATATCTAAAGATAAAATTACGTATATCTAATTTTTATCCAACTCACAATGACTACAAGTCGGTGACATCGGGAGCATTCACTAATTATAGTTAAGCTTTGCCAAGCTTACTCTAACCATGGTTGAGCATATTCAAACCACCCATTCTACACGTATATGAGGTGCCCCACTTGTGGTTGGTGTTAGTTGACCCAAGCCCATTGAAGTAAAAGAAGTGGAGGAGAAGAATGGAAAGCACGAAGGGGAAAGAAATTCTATGCAGCATAACCATTCCAAAATTCGCTGCTACCGAAGTTGAAAAGGCAAGAATGTGAAAAGATTTTTTTTCAAGCTCAAAAAAAGTTACGATTCAAACTGGTCAAGTTACTCAATTGACCCGACTTGGGATCAATCCCAATCGATCAAAATTGATCCCAAATTCTTGAAATCCATTTGATTAGTAACTTTCACCTCATTAAATTGTAATTTTTTCAATTGAAATTTCACTGTCCACTAGATATTTCTGCATAGTCACCAAGGGTTGGTGACCATACAACTACCCTGAGCTCATCATCCTTGTTGAAAAGAATGGAAATGCTTTGAAGCTAGTTAACAATGATTTCTGATAATTCCTCAAACTAATCATTTCTATGCAAAGTTTCAGTAGTAGCTTAGCACCCCAGTTACTTCTATTGAAATAGAAGTAACCAAATGAAAAATAGGGGACTACAAACTACATGAAAAGAAGACATCAGCTTGCTTGCCAAGTGAATTAGATTTCTTGCAGTACTCTTATCTGAAACTAAATTTCGTTTCAAAATGGTCGAAACGTTTCTAATTTCATGGAGATTGAAACAAATCATTGATTGAATATCAGAATTCCTATGTTTTGAGGTGTTTAAGTAAGTTTTGAGATATTTCGACCAATGTTTCGATATGTTTCGATCAACGTTTTGAAAATAAATTTTTAATTTTTTTTTTATTTCCATCTTATTTCCAAAACGTTTTCGTTTCCAAACTCACCAAGACTATGTATCGAAACGAAATTTTGATCATTTTCTACCCGTTATGCACCCAAATAAGTAACGATAAAATGGACGTACATAGTGCACACGACCCTAACTTAGGAGAGGGTTTAAGAGAGGTAAGTGGTTAGCAGTCTTACCTGTAATGTATCATTTGGGCAAATGAGTACTTTGCTTGACTCTATGATAAAGAAAACTGCAATGCTAGTAGGCCCCCAAGCCCCACTTCTAAGGAGTATCAATTGGGAACAATGTCAAGAAAGAGCAAGTTATGTAGACCCTGTTTAGTACATTGCTGCAACATTTATAAGCAAATGCAAGGAAGAACAGTTCCAGACAACAACTATTTATAGATTCTCATATAATGGATATAGATAATGTTGACAGAGAAATCCGATTGCCTGCCTGAGACTCGAGGAAACCTGCGAAAAAAAACCTGAAATGGAGCTTTGGAGGGCAATTGAATACTGGTGTAATGCCGACACAAGGCTCCTGGAGATTGATCTCTAAAGCTCCTTTTTAGGGAGTTTTTTAGGTTTTCTTGAGTGTGCAGTGGGAAACCAGCCACGTCGAGACTCTTTCGAAAGTGAGATTACCACCGGCTTTAAGACGAGGGAAAGATCACTCCTAAATGCAGTCGTGATCTTATATGCAATACCACCAGATGCACCTTAGTACTTCCATCCGCCAATCAAGGCTAGTGGAGCGAATGGATTAGAAGAAAGGTGTAAATGTGCAAGTCAAATGATAGTGTTTGGGCATAGAATTTCAACAGACCAATCTTCCAACAAAATGACTTACTAATTTCTCCCACTAAGGCCGGTGGCACCGACTTCCTCTACAAAAAAGGACAATAACAGCCTCAGCTTCAAGTCAGTGAACTTGACAAAATTTAAGACAACATTTACTAGATTAGTGTTATCACAAGTTTAAGTCAAGGTTGCTATGAAGCTCTCTGAGTGACGAAGACGATAAGTTGGTGAAATTTCTAGGGCATCTATGTAAGTAATCTGTAATGAAGAACATGGCGTAAGAAATAACATAAAATTCAGTTACCATATCAGCCTTCGAAACGAAAGTGATCAATGAAATTAAGTTTTGAGAAAAAAGGAAGGCATTATGCAAAAATAAGATGAAATGAAAAACATTCAGATGCTTCTTAGAGTCCCATAAGCTGCAATGCTACTGTCACCTCTATATCATCCTTGAATATCAGCAAAAATAGATAAAAGAGCTTTCAGAATAGGAATTCATTGACTTGTCTGTACACTCTAGCATCACCATTGAACCATTGACAAAATAAATAAGATAAACCAGTAATTCAAGCTTTCTGACTGCCTCTTACCTACCATGGGATGAACTGGGCATGCCCATCTGCCTCATCCTCTGTAGGTGCAGGAAGATTGAGATCGAGGAAATTAGGAAGCTCTTGCTTGATTACAAGTGTTCTATTGGTACTGTCTTCAGGCCCTCCAATAAAATGAGACCTCTTGTGACCACCTAATGCTTGGCCAGACTTAAAAATCCTGAGGCAAATCGGGCACTCATGTCCTTTGCTTCTCTTAGACCTGGATCTTTTCTCTGCATTGCAAGATAAATCTTGAGCAACTTGTTTGTTGTAACTGACAGACTCTCCAAGCTTGCCATTGGGAAAAAATTCGGGAGTACTATCGCCTTCTAAGCTGTTCTCAGGGCTCAAATATTCAGATTTAAAGCAGACATTGTTTCTTTTGTGGCATGGCCTGTGTCCCCCAAGACCCTGAAAAGAGTTGAAGATCTTCTTACAGGTCAAACACTCATATTTGGTTCTCTTTTGAGCACTCTTGCATATTTTGGCATCTGAAGATTCAGGACTATCGGAACTAAGCATTGTTCTCTTTCTTGAATTATAATTCATGGACTTTGAAGCAATGCCACCACCATCACACCCCTTTTCCTTAATCAAAATCTTCTTTCCTTTTGTGTCAAAGCATTTGATTCTGCTTACACCCTTCTCTAATTTAGCACCAGACTCCTCGAATTCGTCACTACCACTCACTTTAAGCTTCTGGTATTCACCATTTCTGAGTACCCCATCAACAGAAATGTCTGATTCAACCTTCTTAGGTCCATTTATGAAGTAACCAGAATCCGAATTCTCGGGTTGAGCAATCTCAGACTCCAAAACACTAGATTTTAACTTCTTGCCTCCTAGATTCTTCATTTCTAGAGTCTTATCACCCTTGTATATAGAGTTCAAACCTTCATTTCTACCAATTCTCATATCAATGGAAGATGATTTGGTCTCCAAAACGACTGAATTGTTATCAGAAGACTCGACAACAGAATTCACACCACCCCAATTCCCAGAATCCTTTGACAACATCATCAAACACATAGCTATCTCTTCTTGTTCTTGCTCGTCAATCTCACAAACAGGTGAAGACCCATTAGCTAAAGAAAAGGATGATTTAAGTCTCACATTTTTCGATCTTTTTCGCTGCTTCGGATCCTCAGGCTCAGTATCTGAATGACTATCCATCACCTGCTTCTGATTCTCCATAGTCCATGAATGAACATCCTTCAAAACCCTCTCTTTCTCAGAGTGACAAGCCATATGACCACATAATGCTTTCACTGATTGAAACCCTTTACCACATTGTTTACAAACCTTGTCTTGGGGTAAGGGATTGGCTGAATTCACAACCCTCCATGTCTTTCTGGGATTTTCTCTCAGACCATAGCCATTCCCATTAAGTTCAAATATAGAATCTCTCTCAGAATTGATGTTCCTTTCACCGTTGAGAGATGACACCTTTTCCATCTTGGCTTCAACTTTTCCCTGTGATTCAGCTGAATCTGCAATCACATGAGACCTCATGTGACCCCCCAATGACTTCCCAGATGGGTACCTCTTGTCACATAACTTGCATACAAACCTCAATTCCTCATCTTCTCCCATTGATTGTGTTAACTGATCACACAAAACCCAAAACACCCAATTCAGAAATCAAGATCAGTGAACAATTTGAGAGCTCAAATAAAGCAACAATGCCACATTTCCTGATCTCTTACCATAAAAGAAACCCAAATAGTGAAGCAACAGAGCCAGATCACAGAACCAAATGTTCAGAGCTCAAATCTGGCATATGGGATGGGCACAGATCAGAAAGTGTATTTGGTTCTGGACAACTAATCAGAGGAAGATCAACATGGTCAGATATGACAGGAAAGTACAAGATCAGACACACAACAAAAGGGGACCCTTTGAATTTCATATCTATGAAATTCTTAATTGAAAATTCAAAATTTGAAGAACTTAATAAGAAAAATCAAAGTTTGAACACATGGGTCTCTAATGATGGCCATAAACACAAACAATTAAAACAGAAACCAAAGACTCTTTTCCCTCTCTATACGCTCACATATAGTGTTATAGTGGGAGGAGAATTCCATGCATGAAAGCAAATATGTGAGAGAGAGAGAGAGAGAGAGAGAGAGAGGCAATAAAAAGATGGAAGACACGTGTAGGTGTGGAAGAATACTTTGGTGTTTCAATCAAACGGTCAAGATCCTTTGGAATTTTCAGAGGATCCCAAGATGTGAGAGAGGAGAGAAAAGAGAAATTTGTTTGTTGCTATGGTATGATATGGCAGGGCACAGTGAAACTAAACACATTTATCCCTTCATTTGTCTTTTTGCTCATGAAAAGTCCGAATCTTCAGCCGTTATTGCTCTCTGACCTTCCTGATTTATTACTGTTATTGATAATCGGGTCAAATGACTCGGATTTGATTCAAGTTCAATTTATTTTGGGATTGATTTAAATTCGACTCGTTTAAAATAAATATATTTTAAGACTTGTTTAAAAAAATGCATTCATTCGATTATCAATTCTACCGTTTTAAAATGTGACCAAACAAATTATGAGAAAATGAAAAAAAAAATCAGAAATTATGGAGAAAAGTGGGGTAAATTCAAATTAATTTTGATAACCAGTAATCCTTTAAGCCATGCATGTAGTAGACTCGTGATGCATATATTTACTTGTATAATTTCTTTTATGAGACTCGAATTTATGGCCTTGAAATACTTACCAACAAAGTCTAGATCCGAACTATTTTTCTTTTTGAATGGAAAACTATTTTACCTCTATTTTTTCCGGAACGGAGGAAATTTTTTGTCTATTCTTAGCTAGTAGAGACACACTTATGTTGTTTAGACTTGAAAGTCCAAGTAAAACTGAGAACAAATCTCATGGTATATGAACATGTCCTTCTACTCATACATTATTTAAATCACGACTCATATCAAAGAATTTGACCACACCTTTTTTGTTTAACCACACTTTTGTCGACGAAAAGACTTAAACTCTTGACCTTAAAAGACAAAAATCTTCAGCAAAATATATTATTGGCCCAAAAGCCCGTTGGTTGCTATACTTGCAAATTATTACATTTTGCTTACAAAATAGATATGAATTAATAGATTAATAAATATCATTAACTTATTTCAGTGGGATTACTAATCCAACATAAACTGTTGATTACCACCCAGCAACTTGTTTTGCTGGTTGAGTCAAACCCACCACCAGCTATTTGTATTGTACTATCTGTGTTCCTCCTCTGTCCATTATTTTCGGTTAGGTTTTACCGTGACCTAACGTTGAATGATACCTGTGACTAACGTAAATTAGTTGGTTCGTACTATATGTTTTTCTCTTTCTCCTTATATTGTTTTATTTTTAACATCTTTGTATATTTGCAAAAAAAATAATCACTAACAATAATGCATCTCAATCATAGAAACTTCACGACAAGTTTCTTTCTTGTGCACTCAACTATCAGCATAAGGGCGAAATACATAAATTTATCGACTTGATTGGTAGATCGGCTTGTTTCTTGCTTTAGTTTCTTTCCGTTGAACTCAACTATCACCTTTAGCATACTTGACTATTCTACACATAGCAAAGGGAGGGCCTTGGATAGGTTCCACAGCTCTGCAACAGCTTTGCTATATTGCTTCATTTATCGGAGAATCGGAGAAGGCTTCTTTGTATTTTGCAAGGCAAACCCAACAAAATTCAAGATCCTTAATCTGCTCAAATGCTTTGAAAGAGAATAGTAATTGGCCATGTATGACATTTAGCAAAGTTAAATGTCACATGGCAAGAAAGATTTCACTTCACTTCAGTAGTGTCATCCTCACCAAAGGCTATATTCAACAATTCATTGATCGAGCCCTATTTGCTTTCCTGGTGACTTCTGCAACTTATGGTTTGGTGAAACCCCAAAAATGACCAGGCCCTTCTTGCCCACCCACTTCCTACAAATATAGATAAATTCCGCAGAATGTATGTACATACGCAAAACTGGAAGTTCCTGTGCTGCAGTCACCGAACAATTTGACAAGCATTATTGGATCCCACCAACACTGCAATGAAAACGCAAGGTATACTGTGAAGTGCCCATCTTAGATAGCTACGAGCTAATGTTTGTCCTTGCTCGACTTGCTGTCCCAAGTGCATGGTCCACAAATCTCTTCAATCATGTTGCATGCAGGTAGGAGATCAACACCTTTCATTGGACCCGTTGAGGATTTGGCATCCCAAACCTTAGCATCACAAGGGTCTGATGCATATCCAGAACCAAACCCGTCACTTGAACTAAAACTTTTGTGGGCAGTCGACTTCTCAATTTGTACTTCAATATCCCCCTCAGTAGTATCTGCAACACCAGCTATCTCCTCGGCATTCCCATCACCATTGTCATCGTCATCATTGCCAGTTTCATCTGGGGATTGATCCGAATGCTCAACCCAGCCATCTTGATCAAAAAAAGGCTCAACTGCAAAGAGGCCTCCAACATCACTTCCCTGCCATTCATCATCATCACTGTCAATCTCCAGCAAGTTTGATCTGTTCTGAACAGCCCGCCTTCGAAGCAAAAAAACATTGAAATAATAGCTAACAAGCTCCTTTTTTGTTCTAGATGGGAACTTAAGTGGAAAGTACCACCAAAAATTCTTACCAAGGGACGCAGGATTCAGATAAACCACCTCATGAAACACATCTTCTTCTTCTTTAGTCCACGAGTGTGCTACCTCCTCTCCCATGTCGGAGAATCCCAAATTGACAAACTTCTCAAGCCCAATTGTTTCTCTTAATTTCTCCCGGAATTCCTTGCAATGCTGTTGCACACACCTAATAGATCCTTCATCAGGGCAGCTACAATGATGTCTGCCATTTCCAGCCTTTACACCATCATGAGCAGATGAATTTAAGCCCGGCATTGTAATAACATAAGCTCCCATCAGCTGCTCCTCCTTGTCAATGTCAACAATATCACCACAACCCATAGGATGTTTCTTGATTACTTCTGGCTCCCATGCTGGCACATCAGCCTGATGATCTGGTCCAACAGGAACCTCTTTTCTTGGAGAGGAATGCAACATAGATGAAAATGAGTCCTCAAACTGAATGAAGGTTGGAAACTCGAATTCAAAATATTGTCGAGAAAAAGATGGGCAAAATGCTGCCCCGGATCCAGTGTCTTCCTCATTAGTTGGGCTGCTGCCCCATGATAAAGGTGCACTGCTGTCAACCTCCTTATCAATCGAATTTGAGAAAGCATTCACACTGTCATTTTTAGGCTCCTTGCTAAATTGAGATTTACAAAAAATGCCCTCGGCTGCACCTAGCTCAGAATAAGATAAAGATCGTCATTAATAAAATCAATCAGAAAAAGGATTCGGTTAGTTCAACAGCATGCCATTGTGCCACACACACATGCAGAATGCCAGTATGGAACAACTTGTCTAAAAATTATCCAACAAGGCTTCAAATTTCTCTAGCCCAAACAGTAGAGACACAAGTTAATTACTGAAAAAATAAGGGATATTACAATAGATTAGCCATCTTCCAATTAATTTCCGTGCAACAAAGTATAAAAGCAAAAAATTTATTTGATTCCACTCTGTGTCCGATTTTTTACAGAGAAAAAAGATCATGTGAAACTTTTTAATAAACTTCCAGAATATATACTACTAATGCAATGCAACCCCTTATAATGTTACTTACCCAAAAAAAAAACCTTATAATGTTTGTTTAAATTACTAGATTAATCACTTTAATGTCAATCAGATTGGCAACTAGACCAAATCCAACTTGGCGGGGTTTCATAGACCAAGATATGACATATTTTAAGATAGTTAAAATTTACCCAATAAGGTTATTCTTTTTTCTTCTCTTTTTCTCTTTGTTCAATTCATTAGTTTGATTATGAGGGTGTAATGCTAATCCTATGTGGAAAGTACCAATGAAGGAACCACGCGTAGATATAGTGATGTAGATTGAGAAGGAGAATTATCAGATGAGGAAAGAACAAGACAGGGATGAGAAATCAGAAGAATAGGATGAGAAATCAGAAGAATAGGATGAGAAGAGAAGACAATTACGATAAGAGGAGCAACAACTCTCAATTTTCAATAAATCGAATATTCCTAGTCGAACTCTACTACTAAATCATAAAAAAGACAAAATAATAGTTGAATAAATAAAAATCCCAACATAAATTGATATCATTTATCCTAATTCAACCAGATCCTCATCACATGGTAATCCAATGTAGAGCAGGTACTCACTCGTATTCTGCTCATTGAGAATGGTGTACATGTTAAAAATTTAGAATAAAAAAAACTTCCCACTATTGTGTTTTATTACGCAAGTGTTAACCAGAATGAAACCAATTTGATTCATTCGTCAATAAATTTACCAATAATTAGATACATTGACCATAGTAAAATTTTTAAAACTATGGCAAGACTGTATGCCAACCACCATCTTTTTATCCTAAAAAACACTCTAAGAAATGAACGATAGTTGAACCATTAAGAACGATGAAACAAAAGAAATAGAGAATTTCTTACCTAGAAAATCGACTTTCTTGGAATCCTCACAGCAGAAAAATTTACCTGCAAATGAAGCCACCTTATCACCGCAGTCATGTTGTTTTGGATGCTTAAAGGAAAACTCCAGAAACTCCTCCTCATCAAAATGCCGTTTAGATCCCATGTCACCTGCAATGTGCACAAAATGAAGGATACACTCAACAAAGAACATATAGGCAATCATGGAGTACCAGATAAATGCAACCTCTGCATTAAGTCATCCAGCACAAATGATAAGACATAAAGTTTCATAACTAGCATAACAAATACTTTGCAATTGTGGAGCATGGGCAAATATGGAAACTTGAACAAGGTCTGAAATGCAGACACAAGGCATTGGCACTTCATGCTTCTTTTTGAGAATTTAGTAAACGGCACATGATAATTATCTACATGTTAAACGCATATTACGTTGCATAAGGACCACAGATAGTAACACAAGTACACAACTACGAATTGCAAAGCACCCCCAATTTCTGAACCTTTCAATAAATAAATGCAGACAGTTTCTTTATTGGATATAATGATTGTCAGACATGATAATGTGCCCCCAAGAATCTAATATGCAAATATTTTTCAAATTTTTAGATTTTCAGATAAGCAGCTGATAGTCTGATATTGACCAGGGCAAAATGTCCTGCATATGTATTGCCTACAAGAAAGTATCAGCATGTTTAATGGTGAAAGTCACTATTAAGTCACGGCAATAGAAGCATTAAAACTGTTCATAAGTGAGACACAATTGAAGAGGCATGAGGACTAAGCTTCACCCTTTCTTGACAAATAGCTCTAAAAATGTCAGAACCAGAAGGCACAAAGACTGGAAAGGTTCAGAACATGAGTAACCATATGCACAGTTTTGCACGGGCACATGTCGCATCAAGATAATGTAAGTGAGAATCATAGCTATGGTTCTATGCAGTCATCATTTTTTAAAGTCTACATGTCATGAAAATGAAAGTCCAAATGAAAGGGAAAAGGGGAAAGAGCGAAAATTAAAAAAAAAAATAATATGGAGTTAGCGAATGAAAACAAAAAAAAAAACACTAGATCAGAATCACTTTTTGAATCTCAGAGACTTATTGATTGCGCAACCGAACAGGTCTCTTTGACAGGAAAAAATGATTAATCTCTACCAATAGACCTGCTAAAGACCCAAACCATAGAGTACTTATTTTTCTTTTCTGTAGCTCAATCTAACAATAGAAACCATCTTCCTACTTTGGCATGGTACTGAAAACTTTGTTCCTTGCTTTGATGAAGAAAATAAATATAAAAACTCGGTTTTTAAAAACAGGAGAACAAAAAGGAATCATCACCAAAAATGGAAGATGTAAGAAAATTAGGCCAATTACTATACCACCCCTTCAAAACGATCATGAAAAAAAAAAAAAGGGACAAAGCTATGGAAGAACAATTAGACCGGCTTGATGCTCAGGACGAACCCAACATTCTGAGAAACCTATAGCATCAAGCCCCGAAAGATCAGAAACCAATATCACCAGAAATAGCAACATCATTTTCAAGAAAGGACAAAGATAAGATTCCCAAAAGTATCACCCTCTAAACAAGTGCATTATATTCTTTTTCCAATCTTCTAACAATCAAATGCAAACAGATTAACTGATTTGAAAGTATCCATTATCGTATATGGAAGTAATAAAGCCTTCTATACTAAATATAGAAAGAGCAAAATGTGTAAACATTCCTAATTCAGCCATAACTATTTGACATGTGCATAGAATTTCAGTGCTCAGACAAATCTTCAAATGAAAACAAACTAAAATTCAGTGTCTCCTTTTTTTAACATTGGGCTGCTCACCGGATGCAATATTCTACTATCCAACCTGACTCATGTCTAAAAACAGCTAGGGACCCAAAAAGAAAAGGAAAAAAAAACCACCCACCGCAAACCAAAAACTAACAGCATGTCCAAGACGCAATATAACTACCACTTCTGGAATCAGGTAGTTACGGCAAATGTAAATCTCAATTAAGTTGGAGATATATTCCTTCAGTAGCATTTAGTAATGATTTTCTAAGTTGCTAGTTTGCCTTTCAATTTTTTAAGCAAAAGCGGCCTCTGGTTTGATGGGGAAAAAAGGTTTTTTTTTTTTAAATACCTAGACCACCAAAAATGTAATTTTCTATGCTTTTTGTTTTCACCCGGGTTCGCTCTTCCCCCCTAAGCATAATGCATGCCTAATAATAAAAATATGCACATGTATGCGTACTATTTAGGTTGCAAGATGCACATCCGGTTCATGAAAATATAACCATCGTCAAACATGCTTTCATTTTTTTACTATTCATTTTAAGTAACAAAATAACTTAAAATTTAATGTCCTACTTATTAAAAGTACTATTAATGCGCGCGCTCGCAAGAAGTTGCCTAAGCTTGTTAAACCAAAGCAAGCATAATTAAACTTGCTTCCAACCCTACCAGAAATGAAAAAGAGCAGGTCCATTAGTAGCTTCACTTGACACAAATGAGAAAGCCTCTACACCAAAGAGTGGTTACTGATGGAATCGTAAATACAAAAAAAAATGAAAATAGCTATAAAGTAAGATATTCCCTTGGAGTTGATGTATATGTCTCAAATACTATACCGGATCTAATATTCATCGAATACTCGAGAATACATATCAAATGAGTATCACATGTACGATGTATCTAATAATTAATAAAACATTTCTTCATTTCTTGATACAGGGGTATCCAAGAAGAATGTGCTTTTGCATGTTAAACTTGATACACATAGCAATACATATAATTTTTAGTTTTTTCTTTTTTCTTTTTTGGGAATTCAAATATAACACACTCAAAGAAAAATCTATGTTACTTTGATAGCACGTGAATGTTTCTCAAATATTATCTACTACTACATGTCAAAAAGAGATAAAACGTGTTAATTATTGCTTATCACAGGGTAACAAATACTTCTAGCGCAAATCAACTAGTTAAATGCTAGTTTTGCTTCCTTCAACCAATCAACCTCACTATGTGAGTGAACCACAATAAAACAATCAATGCTTTTGAAAGACAAAAATTAACATTTTTGGAATTATTATCAAATAATTTACAAAAAGTTTATAATCATCAATTTGTCAAATTATAGTAAACATAAAGGTATATTTTATTGCAGATGTATCTTGACAGTATCTGTTAGTTTTTGTTAGTTTTTTACGTACCACTGTGCCTGTATCATAAAATAACCTTCCTTATTAACCAAACCAAACCTAACCTTATGTCCTAATCATTTGGAATCTACTATATGAGTTTGTCTTCGCCATTCATTTCAGTCATGCGTTATACGCTTATTTTTAAGTAAATATTTTCTTATTATTTTAGTCAATGTTAATTTAGATTTACCTCTACTCTTAGTACCATTAAGAAAAATTCTATCACTTTTTCTAATCGGTGGGTCTCTATCGACCTTCGTTGAACATGATCAAACCATCTTAATCTGTTTTTTGCAACTTGTCCTCAATTGGAACTACACCTACCATTTATCTAGTACACTCATTCGTATTCTATCTTTTCTAGTTTTTCCACACATCTACCATTTATCACTATTTTATTTCCTAGTTACTCAACATTTTAGTACATTCATTTTATCACTATTTTGTTTCCTAATTACCCAACATTCCATCAAATATAACATTGTTGTCCATATAGTTATTCGGTAAAATTTGTCTTTCAATTTTATTGGTATTCTTCTATCACATAATATGCCAAAAGATTTCCTCCACTTAAACCAACTGAGTTATATCGTCTCCAATCACTCCATCATTTTTAATGATCAATCCTAAATATCTATATCGTTTATTCGTTGATATTTCTTAATTTTCAATCTTAAATTTTTCACTATTTCTATTTCTTCAATTATTAAAATTGCATTACATGTATTCAGTTTTATTCTCACTTATTTTAAACCCTTTTGACTCGAGTGTCTTTCTCCAAATTTTTAGCTTATTGGTAAGCCCACTTTGAGATTCATCTACTAACACACAAACAGCATACACCGTGAGACATCATGATGACTGTCCAAATAACCTTGCTTATTCCGTATCCGTATTTGTGTTTCTTAAATAGTCGCACAAAAGAAATATTGAAAAATTAGACATAAGCATATTTACATACATGAAAGTAGAGTAATGAACCTTAAAAGGCAATGATTTAATGAACTAAATATCAATTCTTAATAGAATTACACATTTCCCCAAAACGATTTCGGCATATAAGAAAGCTCCAAAAAATTCAGAAACCCTAACAGCAGGTTCTCAAGCACCAAGATCACCAAATTTTCCATCAAAACATGCAGAAAACACTAATCAACAATATATCTTACCAAAAACCCCAATCCAATTTACAGATTCAACGAACTTAACAATCCGAAAGCTTCAAGACCTTCAAAATTCAGGCCAATCACAACCGAAAAAAATGATCGATCAATAGACAATAACGAAACAAATTACAAAATCAATCTAAAAGACAACGGGAATTGACAAATCAGAGGCTTGGCTGATGGATATTTCACTAAGAAACCCTAACCCTAGAACCAGGTAGAATCAAAAGTTAAGATCATGAAAGGGATGAACAAAGAGAGGATGACATGAATTGAACCGATCGAGGTTTGATTAAAAGATCGGAATAGAAATCGGAAGCAAATCGAAACTCGATCTGAAAGAGGGATCCGAAGGTTTGCCGTCTACGACGCTTAGAGAAGTTGTCGGTTCGTGGCTATGTAGATAACGAACGAACCGAAAAAACAAAACCCGGTTCATCAAAAACGAACACGTGGAGCACAGTTCAACCCGGCACAAGGGCACGTGGAATGAAAGTCTTGTAGGTAAGTTCTCACTTTTTCCATCGAGGTACTAATTTTTTTTTTTTTTTATGGGTATCATAATTTTATTATAATCTTTATTTTCAAACTTTATTTATTGAGTCATCGGTTGGTCAAATGACCACCGTCTTCACTGTTTGATATTAATATCATAAATTTGAACCACCTCCTTTCCCTCACTATTCTAAAAAAAAATTAATTTTTAAATTTGTTGTAATTTTAGATTTTTATTCTTTCTTAAATTACAACTCAACTTAATTTAGTTCCATTTTTTTTTTACTTATAGTAACACTAGCAATCACCCTGTGCCTAAAAATATTTTG